GTGGTAGACTGTCTGATCTAAAGTATGCAGACGACATTGTGCTACTAAGTGAAGATCCAGGTAAGTTGCAAGCTTTTCTGGATAGTTTGAGTGCTAGTGTTGTCATGTTCGGTATGCGTTTTGCACCTTCAAAGTGTAAAATTTTGCTACAAGACTGGGTTTGTCCAGCACCCAGTCTCACTCTAACTGGGGAAGTAGTAGAGAAAGTACACAAATTTAGCTGTCTGAGTAGCTATATCTCACCCGGCGGACGCATCACAGATAAAGTGTCGGCGTGCATACAAAAAGCTCGATTGGCATTTGCCAACTTGAGACATTTGCGGCGCCATCGCGACATTTGGCTGTCTGTGAAGGGTCGAGTGTGTGCTGTAACAGTTCAGCCAGTCCTGCTCTACGGTGAAGAGACTTGGCAACTAAAGGAACAGGATTAACATAGATTGTCGGTGGTCGAACACCGCTGTCTACGTAGCATTGCACGAATCTGGTGGGGTAACCGAACTAGCAATGCTGAGGTTAGGCGTAGAGTTTTAGGCAGTCGCGGTCGTCCACTAGAGCAAGTGATCTACCTCCACAGATTACGCTTGTTGGGGCATGTGTTACGCATGTCACCAGATAGGTTGCCGCGGCGAACGATGTTTGCCAAGGCTGGTAGCGACTGGAAAAAGATAAAGGGTGGCCAAACTAAGACCTGGAATGAGGGTATGAAAACCCTAACCAGGAGACTAGGTCACACAGGCCCCGTTAGGCTCCCTGTCTGGGGGGCCTCGGGATGATGGTTACCGATGGTTAGCTGCACTGAGTGATATGGCTGGGTGTCGCAAACAGTGGCGCTCGTGCATCTACTCGTCATTTTCCTAACACCACTCTATATGTATTCCCCATCTTCCGCTTGAATTTGCTTCGACATTCCAGTCTACATTTTGCTCTTTTATCCAAATGGGCAACCAAAAGACAGCAACCAAAACCAGCGAACGAAAGTGCATGGTTAATGGTTGTAAAAACTGAAACTGAATTGGCTACAATCCATTCTGATCAACTAAGGGGGCAAATTGAGTAAAATTATTTCCTAAATATTTTCAGGGTAGAACGCTTCTTGGGAGAAGCAATATTGAACAGGTTGTGTAGTACGATACTGGGACATTATTTGAACACAATCCGTTGTGATCCATGTAATGTGCCAGTCGTATGGGGATTACGACTGTAACCGTCTAGATATCTCTGTCGGATCAGTCACTGAATAGTGCAAAGCGACGGAGAGCACTGGAGCCTTTCAGCGGTATCGACTAATTCGGGTTTCCATGGTCACACAGGTAGTACCTTGTAGTTCGCGAACTATTATGGCATTCAGCACAAAGTTATATGAGCGTTACATTCTAAAGGACCACAACGGATTGCATATAAAAAAATAGAACATGAAAAAAAAGTTGAGAGCATCATACGTGGAAGATGGTGAAACAGTATGCAACACTTACTAACCTGAACAAAGAAATCCTGTATATTGTAGTATTCTGCATTCACGCTGGACGAAATGCCAGTCAACCTGTTTCGCCTTCGTATCAGAGAAAACGTACACAGGGCCGCAACTACAATCACTGACTGTTCCCATAGGGCGACTAGTTTCGGATCCGGGTGGGGAAGATTGACGGCAACTTCGGCGATCAGAGTGTAACTCAGATTGACAGCGGTATTTGAACGGGATACGGATCGGGCAATCCATTCTGCGGCCAGACTAAATGGTTCCTCGGTTGAGGACAAGACTGACCCTGGATCGTCGTTCCCCGGGACATGCGGGTTCCCAACGCCAGCCCATTCTCGTTCTATGGAGAAAACTGGCACCACTTCTGCTTTCTGATGAGCCTGTTTTAGGGAGAGGGAAGCGGACAGACTAGTAGGAATAATACCAGTGAACAACAGAAACAAAGTAAGCGGTTAGAGCCCATCAACGTTGAGCGAGAAGAAAACAAACCACGTAATCGCATAAAAGAACAGTTGTACGAATCACGCCTACACCT